TCAAGGAAAAACTGCATTCTTTTATGATTTTTGGGGTGGTTTTTCCTTGTTTTCTTGTATATTTTTCATTGTTTTTCTAGTGTTTTGAATAAAATTCCCGCCTATTTGCAAAATACGAGTCCACAATCATGTTGAAAATGTTTGTCAGCGGTCGTTATTCGCCAATTACTTTATGTAATGCCTGGTGATTAGTTAACTATCCGACTAACTACGTTTTGTGCAACGCAGTTAAGTCGTGTAGTTAACTAATTACAGTTAAGGATTTAACTACAGTGATTAACGCTAACTACAGTTAGAGTTAATTACGTTTTTATACAACCGGCCCCAGAGTTTAAAGTCCTCTGGTGTGTCTCATGTCTATGAAAACAACAAGAAACACTGAACACTTAAGCTCAAGATGATATACATATCATGAACAGACAATGTTTGAAGACATGTGAAGACATTCGAACACACAATGTGTGAAGACATGTGAAGGAGGTTTTTGTTCATTTCTGTAGATGATATATATCATGAACACACTTTATCACTTTTACATTCTTATAGTGTAACAAGAAACACTGAACACTTACGTACTTTTTTGTAATTCTCTAGAACTATATGTTACAGTTGTGCAACAAAGTTGGAACAGTGTCCTATATGTCGAGCTGGTATAGAAGACATCGCTAAACAAATTGTATCAACGGTGTAAGGCATTGAATATGTGCATTATAGTATTCCGAGCTGCTCGTTGATAACAATTTAAAGGATTTGTGGCAGCCTAGTCCCAGGCCTTATCGTGTGACTGGATCGGCCGTTCCACAGGAGACTCCTTCAATCTGCAAACCTTGTCAAAATACCACCCTAAAATAGTAAGGCGGAGCGAAACGGAAAAGGCGAGGAACTAGGCTGGATTTGTGCCACACCAACCCACAAAGCACGAGCCTGACACTAACCTTTAAGAACGAAGTTTGGCGTAATTTGAAGTTCCGAGTGTCATAAGTGGAAGCAAGAGGAAAATTAAGACAATTTCCAATACAATAATGAAAAGAGAAAAATAATGTGAAATAATTTGCAAAAAAAGTAAAATGTTGATATTTTGTTACAAGTGTATTATCTAATAGATTTGTTTTTAATGGCGTGTGCGAGCATGTGGATATAATCGATATATGCTGCAAAGCATTTATTTTTTATACCAAGTACATTATTTCAAAATTAGATTTATGCTTTTGCAAATTCGTGTTGTCCATGAATTTGTCCTGATATAATTACCAATTAAAGCTAATTTGCTTGTCACGTTCATATGTTGATGATTTGATCTATCAAGTCTGCACTATAACTTCTCTATATGGTCTGAATTTAGCAATGTATAAGAAAATTTAGTGTCACTATAAAAAATATTTTTGATATTGTTCCTTAATACAATTGTCTTACCTTCGATTTCATTCAATTATTTCAAAGCATTAAACCTCGTTCCCAGGCCATCCTTACGAACACACGCCGCCTCCTGACATGTGTTCTTCAATTTCTTGCACAGTTCGTGGTACGCGAGTCATCAGTTCCATTCCGTCAGCGGTCACGATGATGTCGTCCTCAATACGAACCTTGAGTAGATAGGTAGACGAATCGTTCAATAGGTGGTTTTTATCATGTTTCAGTGCACATGCAGGGCATTTCAACCAAAAAATCTCATGAGAAACGCATCATTTGACCTTTGTGTTAAAGTCTCATGGGATTGCTTGTAACTTAACCTATTATCGCTGGATTGCTTCAATAAAATTTTACAAATTGTCCAGACGAACAACTGTAGCTAGAAATAAAATCTTACCCCTCCAGAGCCTCTGTACTCTTGCAAAACATCCTCATTGATAAATGCAGCTTGTTCCGGATTGTTTAATGCCTCATCTAAAACCTGTCCAATAAAAATTTAAGGATTATATTCATTTACATAGAACGCAGACGTTTGATTCACTGAATAGCCCAGAAAAAAGACAAGCACTCACATAGTCGATGAAGTATATTCCAGGTTCAATTGTCAAGACCATGTTTTCTTCCAGTATTCTGCCTGTACGTAATGATCGAATACCTGGTTCATCAATTCTTTCCACACCCTAGTGCAAATAAAGGCAGTTCTACCAACAGAGCTTAGAAGGAAAGAAAGCGAAATGATGCATGTGGACCACGTTCATCGTGGGTAACGTACGAGTATTTGGATAATTCAGGATAGTTCAAAATACTACCTGTCCATGATGACGGGTTGTGTATTTTTCACCGGTCTCCTCGCTGGAAATGTTAGTACTTTTCTGAAATTATTTGGTGTGGGTGGGTACCACCCTAACCCCCCCCCCCCCTAGCAATTCTACACCCACCTCAGGGTAGCCTCCAACATCGTGTACATCGAGACCCATGAAATGACCAAGGCCGTGAGGAAAGAAGACTGCGCCCAAGTGAACTTTCTCCATGTCATCAATGTTGCCTTTTAATATCCCACACTCCTTCAGTGCTTCAAGTTGTACTCTGTTTGCAAGACGATGCATATCTGGCCAGGATACGCCTAATGACAAAAATAACAGACAACAGGTTTGTTTGTGGGCAAAGTTTTACCGACCTGAAACGAAAGCAGGTCAGCGACACGTCAGCAAATTTACGTTTTCAATAAAATGTTCCTGCAGTATAAATAGCGAGGTTCTGATTTGATTTCCACTACCTTTCACGGACTTTGTACGCACCTGATTGGTTAATCGAGTAAATTAAACGCATCTGATTGGTTAATCTAGTACATTAAACGCATCTGATAGGTTAGTGTTAGTGGAAAGTCAAATCTAAGCCTCACATATTTATTGCCGACATTTCTTAAAAGTCATTGGATGGATGAAAAAATTGCCGACTCTTCGTCATTTGTCGTCATTTGTCGTCATTTGTCGTCATTTGTCGAAATTCATTTATGGTTAAGAAATTTTGCGAAAAATTATAGTACACATATTTTTTAAGTTTAAATATGCGAAGACAAGAATATTTTTTTTTCTGAATTCACCACGGGAAAGTATAATTTTGCAGGTCGGCAATTATCGACCTGACATGACGAGATGTCGCCAATCAGGCCGGCATTTTGTCGAATTTCGGCTAGCGTATGATTTGCTGCAACCTCCTACAAGACTGGGTACGCCTATTTTTTTCCAGCACAGCTAACCGTACGAATTCTTGCGTGAAAACATCCAGTTGCGAATTTGCTCAGTCATCTGACCTGATTTCATACCTACAGTTTTGCTGTGTCTTAGTTTCGTAAGTAGTTAATATACCTGGTTTCACTTTTGCCATCACAGCCCTGCTTGCTCGAAGTACAGCCTCATAAATATTCTTTTGTTTCTCAGTGAACTTTCCGTTGACTGGAAACGAACACGTGATGTCTGAGCCATAGCAGTAATACTCTCCACCCATGTCAAATAAACTGAAGGAAAATGTTTATTGTTTTTTTCTGTAAATATTATGTCAAAACTCCTACAGTGTAATCTCGTGCACATAAACTTACCACATATCTCCGTCTCTCAAAGTTCGATTATTTGGAGCTCCGGCATGACCATAATGTAAGGTGGCGGAATTTGGACCACTGAAAGTAACAAGGAATAATACTTAGTCCAGTCAAATATACTTAGCCTGTGCACAGCCTGAAATAGCGAGAATTACAGGCTATGCACAGGCTAAATAAACTTAGTATATCCACATATTCAAAGTGTGCTTGATGTCATATTTTATATTTATGCACGTAACCATCAGTACATGTTTTCCGAGGCTTGAATAAAGACTGCTTCAGGCCTACCTTGCACCAATACACGTATATGATGAATGTCGACAACCTCCACGGGAATAGCAGTGATTAAGAAACATACTGTAATGAAAAAGGTCTTTACAGTCAGAGCGAAATTCACATCATGTCGGTTTATTAGTTCAAATGTCAAATTTGTAATCCAAATTTTTCTTCACCTTTCAAGCTGAAATTCGACCATGTTAGGTTTAATTTTTTTCATAATCTATAACAAAATTTTGAGTAAACAATTAAAGAAAATAAGTTATCTCCAACGGCAACGTGAAGTTCCAGAACAAGGTCATGATTGCCGTTAAAAAGCAATCTGAGCGTTTTAGGACCAGTTCAACTTTTGATTGACGATATCATGGTAGATGATAGACAAGCAAAGTCTGAGATTTCCCATCTTCAGGACTGTAAAGTTTCGGCTATGAAGGAAAATCATTTCCAACGCAAACATTCTTACAATTACGGAAATTTGCGCAAAATTTTCAAATTATAGAAAACTGCAAATAATTTCTGAGGAATCTGCACAAAATGCTTTTGTCAACCACTGATCTGCACTAATTGTGAACCAAGAACATTTCTGATTTCTATTTCGGCATGAAAAAAAACTGTCTTACTGCATGATCCCTTGGTCTGACATAAATTTTCTTTGAAAAAATCTAACATTTCTGCGCATTTTTCCCAAGGAAAAAATATTTCCTGCGCAAAATAAATCTTTTCAGTCTGGGAGATTTCCATTTCAGCATGGAACGCCAACTCGCCAAGTAAACTTCATCTAGTACCTTTTTATGAGCCTCACTGCTGATTCTGTTGACATAACGAAGCACTTCCAATTCTTGTTTCGTTTTGATTACACGACTGCAATTACGAAGAAAACTGGTTTCAAATTGCACGTGAAAATAGAAAATCGTTTGGTGTAAGGCAGAATGAAATAACAATAAAGCAGGATTGAATCTTTGCTCACCATTCCACAATCTCAGGAAAGAGAATTTTGTTGTCAACTTTAAAACTGAAAAACAAAAGACTTGTTAATATCATAACATCGTTTTGGAGGCCACAATATTTAATTTATTTACCATTTCACCCAAAATGTTAACATTTATACCTGCCAATGCCATCAAAAGCAGCTTCACGGCAATATTCTCCACTGTCTGTGTTTTTACCATACTACAACATTGATAAGACAGATATGACAGATATAATAGGGTCTGTAAATTTCTGAACAATTAAATGCATTCAGATGTTAATTTAGAGAACAACTTTTAAAGAACAAAATTTTATCTTGTTCATACCAGCGTCAACAATGGATTTTTCTTCTTAAGCACATCAGCAATCTAAAATAAAACACTAGTCTTGCAGTTCATGTACAAATCATGGAATGCCATAATAATGATTAGCATCAGCAGTTTTTTCATGACAAATTCTCTAATTACAATATTAAACATTACTAAACAAATAAATAAAAGCAAACCTCGTCTGTATAAAACACTTCATCAACTTCATATTTCTTCTTGAAATGTTCTGGTGGATGAATACTTAAAATAAAATGTACACAATGTCACCATTCACAATTTGAATACACTCTAAAAACACCCTGGTTAAAATTGCCCTGGTTAACCATGCAGGGATGGACCCAGCCAGATCTGGGGGTGTGTGATCATCAACCAATAGACTGAGTCATCATGTGATCATCAACCTAGGAGTTTGAGTCTATGACGTAGGCTACATTGACCAAGTTCATAATAATTTAGAACTACTCACAGCAGTGTTCTGTAGATAGAATGGGTGAAACATTGCCCCTGGAAGGGTTATAGTGAAAGTGGCACCTCTCTTGCTGGGTGTGCACCCCTGCACCCCACCCGCACTAAACCATCACTGATTCTATTTGGTTTAAATTAATATTCCTGGTTACATTTCCTGGTTATTTCATCTCACAATTATCTCACTTCCTACCATCTCACAATGATCTCACTTCCTACCTGGTTAATTAAGGTGATCAGAGGAATGTGGTTATATTTGACCAGGACATTGTGGTTAAATTAACAGAACTATGTTAGGTGGATAAATAACCAGGAGCCCTTGGAACTCTGGAAGCTTGAAAATGCGGGGGGGAGGGGGGAGAAATATGGCTCCTATAACATTTTGTGTTTACAGTGCTTGCCATCATATACTTACGTTCCTTTCCATGTAGCATACTCCTTAGGAAATCTTGGCATAAACAACATTGATTTACCGCTGTATACATCAATTGCTCCAAAGGAATCACCTTCTAACACCCCAAATGCCCAATGAAAGAAGGACTCCTAAACAAACCATTAATTAGGTATAATGTGCCAGATTATGCACCTTAGAATATTGACATCCAGTTGTTGGCTATATTGTATGTTTCACACAAAAATTCTTGGCCCTCAATCACAACCCTTTATCCTTAACCCTATTAACTACAGTAATATTGGAATAATATTTTAACACTATATGAATATTTGCATAATATTATTCTAATAATATTCAAATAATATTCTATAAGGTATGCTAAGAACAGGTGTATATTATAGCCACAAACCATGGCTATAATATACACCTGTTAATTAGGTTTCCCAAAAACAGGTCTACTTTATAGCCATGGTATTAAAGTAACTCAACACATTCAACATTTAGGCCACTATTTGTTGTATATTAGTTTCTCATCCCCGCCCACATGCTTTTTAAGAAAATGGTCTTGTTCGCCATTATTATCATTATTGCCATTTTTGACCATTATTCTAAATTTTGTGATGTCTTTAAAATGACATTTGAAAGAAAGACAATTAGAAACGTTCCCAAACCAAAAGTTTCAGTTAAGATACGAAATTTCATACCAAAACTGCCAGTTTCTCTTGCATTTACATAAAAGTTCTACCGGAAGCCAGGGGCAGCAAAAAAAACGCGAGACGACTTGGCTACAAAATTATTTCTCTATTCTGTGATTATTTCACATGTGGTCATGTCGAGAGGCCATATTTTTAATATGAAAACATGGTTTCAGTTGCATTCACTAATTTTGTGCTGTTTTGCAATGCTACAAATAGTGGGATAATGGTAATGGCCCGCCTGCCTGCATCAACTTTAGGTGAAGCCCCGGATGAGAAACTAATATGCAACAAATAGTGGCCTTAGTTCTATCAAGAGAGATATCGTATTATGTTCATTTGCAGGATTGTACGCAGGATTTTTCCACCAGGAGGTTTAAATATAAAATACAAAGCGTATAAAAATGGCACAGTTTTATATGTTTTGTAGATCATTATTATTAAGAGCCTTCATTGAAAATTTCATTCTATGAGTTCTGGTTTTTGATTTTCAAAATTTTTTAATGCTGATGTCAGCATAATTTTAAATGCAGCTAAAAACCACGCAATACATAGAGTACCATGTATAACACTTGGTTATGTTCGCTTTAGAATCACATAAACTAATTCACTCTGAAAAAGAATCTTGGCATTTTGGTGGAAAATAACCAGACCAGAAGCATTTGATATGGCCACCATATTGTTGTACAAAAAAACTGTTTTATGATTCATAACATTTTAAAATTGTTAAGATAAATTTTCTCTGGGGTGGGCAATTTCCCCTGCACCCCCCTAATTCCAGTAACAATATTAAAAATATACAATTGTGAAAGTAGTACTTATTTTTATATTCTGTACATAAATAAAGCTCAAATACCTGACGAAAAACAACCTCTGTATCCGTATCATAACGGCATTTCTCTTCCCCGCTTTGCAAGAGCACGATAGCTCCATTTTCAACACTTTTACTTTTCAACCTTTCACAAAGCCGTGCGCGGTTCGTCGCGTGCAAATTCACTGGCACGCACAGGCCGTCTGGACCAAGTTGAAAACACGAACTGTTGAAAATAAGAAAGTGTAAAGAGTTTAATTTAATGAAAGTAGAGTTTGTGTCGAAAAAATTGTGTTAAAAAGTTTTACCTGACTTCTGAAGCCATCACGAGAAATCACGAGATCAGCAAGACAAGAACACTATCCAGTTTTAATTTTGAGATCAGTCATTGCAACATAATTAGCATATTTTAAAATAATTATCATATCGAAGTAAACAATATTTTCCACGAAGATGCTTGACAACTGCGAATTGTATTTGAATTTTATGAAAGTTTAGAGGAGAATTAATTAGTGTACGATGGCTGAAGATATAGACGATCTTCTTGATGAAGTAGAAACAAAATTTTGTAAACATTCTGGTCCGACAAAGCCAAAGAGCGGCAAAAAAGCCAACTCTCATGAGCAAAGCAGGTAGTGGTGGAGTGAATTTTGAAAATATCAACTTTATGAAATGAATTTGGAAGATCTTTTTCAACCAGGGTGTTAATAGGGAGGGGTAATTATCAGGAACCAGAAGCTATTTTGTGAAGTGTTTGACATGGATCCAGGGGGCAAAGGACAATCAGACAAGAAGCCTATAACAAGCCAGACAACCAGGCTAATTGTGATCATGAGTCATCAGATGAAGTTTATAGAATTGATGCAACAAACAACAATGCCATAAGTATTATTTTCTGCCGGCTGAGGAACAAGAGGCAAAAAATGTTTTTCTCGCACACTGCTGGGGGACTGGGTCAAGGGTGTGGTCCAGGTTATCAGAATCACTTTTTTGCTTGCCTCGTACTAACCTGGCCTGTGTCCCACCCACCTTATTGGCAGGAAGAGCCTTGCTTTATATTTGTTATGATCCTTGTGGATGGGTGTGCAGCATCCCTCAGCACTGTGTGAGAAACACCTTTTCTACCCCTCCAGAAAAGGTGAGTCCTAGAACCCCAATGGCTGGCATCTGAGCCTAGTGTAAATGTAGGCTTATGTAAGCTTACCAGACATTGGACATTTTTCATTTTACCTTCCAAGCAACATTTTACGTTGGAAATTGTTCAAAAATCGACATGAATGACGTCACCTTTACTCGGTCAACTGATATTATGATGTCATTATAAAATCAGTAGATTGTGGCATGAATAATCAGTAATTTCCGATTGTTGCACAATCGGTAACTTAATGCAAACAAAATATTACTGTGTTCAGGTCAATAGGTGCAAGTGTGAAAAGGAAAGATGAATCAGATCTAAATGCAATGATTGATGATATATGTACTGACAGTGGACCAGCATACAAGGTAAGTTTTCTGGAAGCTCTCTTCTCACACTGGGGACCATTCTTGCAACATTCTCAATCTTATTACTCTTATATACATATAGCCGCATTCATCCTGTGAAAGCAAACACAATAAAAACTCTCCAGTATTGAACAAAACAAGAAAATGTTATCCAGTTTACCTTGGGGGAAGCCAAAATACAAGTGGACTTTCAAGTGCATCTGTTCAAAGGTATATTAAGTTAATACTGTGTCTTCCCTACATATTTTCTTTATTTGTCTGGTTTATACTATTGGCCAATATGTTGTGTTTGTAGGACATGTGATCAACTACGCTGTACTTCGTGTGATTTTCAAGTGGTTTCATTTGATAATTACCAGTGGCGTTCCTCCTGTGATTATTTATTCTTTCGTAATAATATTCCAGATTTTAGCAAGTTAAAGGTTAATCTAATACAAAAACGGGGTAAGTTGTAGTCTTGTACATAAGGTTTTAAAATTTCCAATAATTCCACAAAATGAATGAAAATTGTATCATTAGGAATTATCATTGCCCATGAAGATATATTTTTCATTTTTCTTAGGTAGCAGAGCATATGCTTGTCAATGTTCTTGGAAATCTGTCAGCAAAATGCAAAACATCGAGTCAGATTCGGAACTACGATGGGTGTGCGGAAAGCATAGTTAGTTAGGACATCAGACTTAGTTTGTAAACCAACTCACACTACAAATATTGATTTCTGATCGAATGTTAAATAAATAGACAGTGACTTTAAATACAATTATTTATTTGAAATGTGTTAGGTGAGAAGTATATTGGCAAAATTCATAATTAATATAATACAAGATTAGTACAGTAAAGTAAGTCTGGTGTACAGTTAGTTTAAATTTCCCATCAAGTGAAGTTTCAAGTTTGCATAAATATGCTCCTCAAGATCTTTCAAAATGTAGGCAGGTTTAGCATTGGAGAGATTAACTGATTGAAATATTTCTTTAATTTCTCAGCTGGAAATTTTTCGAAACTTGTGATATGTTAACTGTAAGTGTACTTGTACATGAAAACTCGCTGGTTTATGGATTCAAGTTTGTCTAAATTAAGAGAATTTGAATGTGTTTCAAATTCACTTATCAAAATTGTAATGCATGTTTTAGGCATAAAATATCTGTTTCTGGTCAGTGGGTGTGTCATTTTAAAAATATTATATAAATTATCACTTGTTATTATACAATAATTTATCTTTTTTATTTGAACATTTACTAGTAATGTACGGTAAAGACACTTCGCCACATCAATTCTGGACAAACCCACTGACCAGAAACAGAACTTCTTTTACACCTTAATTAAGCTTGGTTTCTATTAAATTGCAAGAATCATGTCAGAATTAGGAAAAATTTGACTTTTGTGATTTTATGGAAAATAGTACTACTGCATGGAAAAAGTCCAAACTGGCACCAATATATTACATATAATGGCGTAAAGTCATTACTCAAAACATATCTCACTTCAAGACCTATGAATGGCCCGATACTATATGACCTCAATCCTTTAGAATATGTGATATGTTGCACATTACTGAATTTGATTCCTCCAATTGTACCTTAATTCATGCTAAAATAGAAAAAAGAAAGTTAGGTTGAAATATGCTCTATAAGTAAGACTTTTTTATTTAATTATATTTATTTAAAATATTAACTTTACAATGACACTTGGAACAATATAATTCTTCCAAGTGTGCATTCTATGTACATCAAAAGTAGATTCATGTTTGGAAAGGTATTGTGTTTGAAAGAGGAAATAGAAGTACTGTAACATTGGAGGATATGAATGGGAAGAATGCTGCATTTGAAGAAGAAAAAAATCAGGTTGAAAAAGGATTCCCAGAAAGGGAAGTTCTGCAAAGATTAGAGAGTGCACTAGCTGTCAGTAACTTTTGTTTGTGCGAGTGTGAGACAAATACTGGTGATAAAGAAGAAACATCTGGATTGGATGACCCATTAGTTTTACCTTTCAATTAAGGAGTCCCTCATTGTTGTTGCAATATTTGATGGTTGTGCATCACCAAGTTTGAATACACTTTCTACAACAGAGAGCTCTGTACTTGTTGTGTCTAGGCCACAGAATGCACACCAGTCATTCACAACCATTCCTGCACCAATCACTTCACTTCCTCGATTCACTGTACCTGCCTGGGGTAAATACATTCATCTCCAGAGTTCAAAATAATTCTGAAACTTGGTCTGACATTATTAATTATAGCAGTACAGTACATATATTCCATTCATTTGGCACAATTATAGGAATGGTAAAGAAACTACTAACTTCTTTGCATTAAAGAGTAAAATTAACCTACATACCACAAGAGGAACTTGTAATAAGGATGACAATTCATCTTGATCTTCAATTGAGGTGTGTGGATGAACCTAATATATAAATTATTAACACATTGAGTGGCACAGCACTCTCCCCTTGCCAAGTAAAATTGTCTGGCATAAGGCAGAGTAAAATAATATAGTAGGGTGCAGTTATTCTATGGTGCAGTGCCCTCAGTTTGAGCCAATAGCCGTTTTCACATTAGAAGACGGACAAGTTATCTAGACAAACAAATCGTCTCAAAAACGTCCTTTAGTCGGACAAATCATCAGATGTGAAAGCGTGTCGGACAATTTGTTCGTCTAGACGACTTGTCCGTCTCTAATGTGAATAGGGCTAATATTACAAATTTACACATTCTGGACATACCAGACCACCTTGATTTGTTATAGCGCAGTAACTGCCTGTCAAGACATTGCCTGCCACTGTTTGACGAAATACTTCAACTTTCAGAACATCTGCCAAAATCTCTTCTGTTTCCTGTTATAATTAGAGTTTATATCTTTAAGTTTAATTTATTGCATAGCAGGTTTCATGATGGGAATCATATAGAGTTTGTAGACTTGTACAACTTGTTGTCTTGCATTATGTTTTTATTAACTTGCAATCTAAATGTAATGAAATCTTATGTAATAATAATCTACTTAGTTGAATGGTTGATCAATCAATATATTTATTAGCACCTGAAAATTTTACATAACTTCTCTTCATTGAATATAACATAATATGAAGGTGCAAGCTAACTGTAATAACGTTGAATCGTATGAGATATAGAACTTACTCTATCTAAGTCTGGATGTACAAGAGCAACATAATCATTACAAGCAACAACATTGCCCAAAGCTGAAAGACGTTCTTCTACCCTCTGAATTTTCACATTTTCTGTTAAGGAGTTGCGAATGTGCTGAAGCTCCTAAAATGGCAAACACAAAATGACATACAATTTATAAAAGATGAACAATTGATTGCCATCTGTTACAGTACAAAAAATATGGAATATGAGAAAAAATTGAAAAATAACCTGATCTGTTGTTGTATTAGGAACAAGTAAACCATGACGATTACCTAAAATTTATGAGCTTTTGTCAGAACATCATAGTTGCATGTCATGCTTAGCATGTTTACTAATGTTGTAAAACACAAAACACAATGATTTTATTATTGACAATAATTAAAAGTATTATATAATAAAAGCATGCTAACCGACTGTCAATCGACCAATAATTCTGCAACCAGCTACTGATGTGCGTACAACTGGAATTACATCTGACAGTTCACCTTCAAACACACTGGAAAAGATCAAATGCAACAAATTACAATCTGATTGGGTGATGACATTTCCTACATGCCACATGTGTAGTGATTGGTTGTTCATTGAATGGAGTGGTTGTTCTTGGATGATTTGCAACTTGAATGCAAGTTGACATCATCAATTTTTATCTCACTATCTACAGATTGTTGCCAAAAATGGACATCAGAATTGAAATCTCAGTGCTCAAATTAGTCTGTGCCAAAAATTGGAGCATGAAGGTTTCAACTCAACTTACTTATGTTACATAATTTTCAAACAATGAATTATTGACCTGAAAGTATCCCACAATGCAATGTGCATTCCAGAAGTCGTCTGCATTAAAAATTACATTACTACTAAGCATTTCTAAGGTCTATTCTTGGGTCCATTTCTGCCAAATATGAAGATAAAACATTGATAACGTAATATGTGAAATCAGATGAGTTGGTCAGTTGGAATCTGCGGGTGTTACGCTGGATATCTCCGGCGTAAAATGTTCTTGATGTATTAATTACGCCATTGGCGTAAATATTACTATTAAATAAAAATCTTTGGCAATTTGGATGTTTTTGTGTAATATTGTGAATATTTTTGAATATTGGAAGATTGATATAATGATACTTGAACTACTGTTCAACTGCAATCAATTTAACCTTGTGTGAAACCTCCAACATGCAAAAACGTTATAACTTTCTTGTCAGTCATATGACCGGCGTACTGGTGTAAGCAGTCATTGGCTTATTGACATAACATATTTGTACTTGGATGATTGGTTGGATCGGAACATTTATACTGTATTAATAAATTTATAAGAAGTATTATAAACAACAACCTACTCTATTAACAATCAGTCATCATATATACCTATCTACCATTATACATACCTATAGAAACTCTGTGAAGCACCGATACCAACTAAACAATAGGAATTGGTCAACTTCGAAAATACCCCGACTTCGTTATTATTCTCAAATTGAGCCCGTACTGCCATAAATGTTTAAAAAAAAACCGATTGTACTACGGGGTTAACTTCTTTTAAGTTTGCTATGTCGTCTTCCAAGGTTTTATACCAAGATTTAGAGGCCAAAAAGGCTATTTTTGGTAGTTTACACAATTATAAAATTTTATTGCACCAAATTGTTCGATTGCACGTTGTTTTGCAATATATATCGAGCCCGCTGTTTACTAGTATGTGTTCCTCAGGATACGTGGTGTCGTCTTCATGAAACGACATTGAAGGTTCAGCGAAACAGGAAACTCTCTGCGAGCCTGCACTCAGGCGGTGGTCTGTACGGTATGGTATACTTTACGTGAAATTTGAATGTTTGTCAAAAGATAAAATATCTACAATGAATAATAATAGAGTCACAATTATTACACCTCTACGCTTCATCCCAGAGGCTAAATATGTATGGAGAGTTGTAATAAAATAAACTGAATTCAATATCCTTTCTGATAAATCTGCCGGAATTCTCTTGATTTTTCCTATAGCATTTCCCCCCTGTCTCGTACACCTATGACCATAAGGCGTCTAGCTACTGTCACTTAAAACCTCTACTTAATTCCTCACAATGACAATGTTTCGTGATATCCGTAATTTTGAAAGGTTAATTATCCTAATAACAGCTGTTCTCTAAATGTTTTCTTCATTTCCTCCAAAAGTTCTGGTTTACATAGAATATCAATGGTGGTCATTGCCATAGACTTCGCTGCGACAAGAGTAGGGTGTTGTGCTTCTTCTCGGCCAGCTGCCTGAGCGAAACCTTGCGTGTGATTTCCTGCGGTCGATTTAATGCTGTAGCCAGGATGTAAGGACGGTAAAACGTAAGAGACATTCCCCATATCTGTAGATCCATTGGGAAAGCTTTTCTGGACAGATTTTGACGGGAATGTAACTCCTAAAGACTTTGCATGTTTTTCATAGAGTTCGGTTAACACTGGATTGCTAATAAAATTGGCGTAAGGTTTTTGACTTTCACCATAACCATACCAATCTATATCGACTGTACAACCTGCGAAGGTGAATGAATTGATGAATTCATTTGTGCAACTCTCACAACTTAACTTAGCGCTATTAAAGCCGGTTTAAACTAAGCACTCGAAAAATAAGAATGTATACAACATATATACATTTCTGCTCATATATATATATATATATATATATATATATATATATATATATATATATATATATATATATATATATATATATATATATATATATATATATATATATATATATATATAAACTTCAAGACATCGAGCTATATATAAAGAAACTGTACTCACATTCCTGTTTAGCAGTCTTCTCTTTGAATTTGTATTGGCCCTTGGCCTTGCAATGTTAGCTAACACAGTTTAGAAAACAAAATCTGTTTCGAATCATGCATTTACAATATACTCAAATAGGATGAGACTCAGAGTGTATGAGAGTTGGCAGTCACGAGATCATGGTTAGCTGTGAATGCTTTCCCAACATTATCATGTATTTTATCGAAGTGAAAGTCTGCCGCTCTTACGACTGGCTGGAAACTGAACAGTCTGAATAGATCCGTAAAGTATTGGTAAGTAGTAGAAGGTGTCGATCTAAGACTAGAACGGAGACCTTTAGAAATTCACCTTGTGCTCAACAAGGACAATTTAATCAAAGGTCTCTTTTGTTTTTAATATACGCACCCTGTTATAGTGCTTAGGCATTCAAATTATAACAATAGGATCTGATTTCTAAATAAAAGTCTACATAACACTCACCCGTGGCTTCAGCAGCACCTCGAAAACAATGGTCTGCTTTTTCTTTCAACACTTCCAAATCTTTTAATGTTCGACATCGGAAAAAATAATGCAGCTGAGATGTTTCGGGGATTATCCCCGGTACAGTTCCACCATCTGTAAAAACACCATGAGCTCTCCATGTTGGTTTCATCTGTTGTCGTAACATGCTGATCGCATTGTGACTCAGGACTGCCGCGTCCAAGGCATTCTTACCCTCCCATGGAAATGCAGCGGCATGTGCAGCTCTGCCCTTAAATGTCACAAACACTTTCTGATTGGCGAGAAATGGTGTGTAAAGTGCGTCAAATGGCGCCGGGTGTACCATCATGCTAAAATCAACATTATCAAAGCAGCCTGCATCAAGCATGAGGATTTTACCACCACCACCTTCTTCCGCAGGTGTTCCCATGACAACCAAATGACCCAAGTTACCACTGACATGGTCGAGTGCAGCTTTGACACCTAAAATGCAATCAGTACCAAAATTCACATTATTTTTGGTCAAGGTTTCCGCAAAGTAGGTAGCTTTAATAGCACAATCGTCAGAGCATGCGCCTTTTACCTCTGAGATTGTTGTTTCGATTGCTATTCCCAACTCAAACACACTCGATTATGTGAAGTCTGTCAGTGACTCAGTGAAGAGTCACTTGGTTAAATTTTAACCCAGGGTTCCGTTAATAGCGCTAATTGGACAACTGCCCCCCAACTTTTCTCCGCACACCATGACCATGGGAGTACCGTGCGGGGGGAGGGCGAGGGGAGGGCGAGGGGGGCGGCAGCCCCCCCCCC